AAGAGAAGCCAGCTGAGGTAATTTGGTCATAGATGGGGAGCTTCTTGAATTTCTTAAGTTTCCAGGTACTGGACCAGAACCTCTACATGGACCCAAAACCCACTGAAGGAAACCCACGGGAATTTAAATGAGGACATCTAGGTGAACTTGTTTGGCCTGCTGACACACCAACTTCAAGAAAATGTATGGAGGAATGAGCTAAAAGTGCTTATACATTCAAAATTGTCCCAAACATACATAAATACATACATAAATGAGTTTATAAGAAAAAGAAATCCCCAAAATAATGAAACAACATGAGTTATGTAAGATTCCCACTAGTTATTATGATGGCTTTAGGGTCTGTAAGGGGGCAGGTCCTAGCTTTGACCCTCTTTCGTCAGTTTCTATGTATTATTCCTCAAGAGAACATTTCTTATTTACTTTGGGATTTACACACTGCCCTGAGGTTGTGTGTTAAAGAGCCAATTCCAAAACAGTTGAGTCATTGTGTCGATAAAAACAGATTTAATTTCATTTCATTTAGTTGATAATCAGTCAGGTGGACCCTCTTCCCTTCAGAGTGTCAGATGTGGTGTCCAGGATTTCCAAAAAGATCCTAAGCTTAGTCAAACAACAGGACCCACTTCCCTGATTCGAGACCTTCATTTTGGAATTGCTGGACAAAAAGCTCACACTGTCTTTCACAGGGTTGTCCATCCCAGAGTTGACCTCATGGTGTAAATTATTGATTAAAACAACAGTACAAACATTTTTAAAATGAGATTCTTAGACTGAACAGGCCTAAAACTCCCTCATCTGTCTTTTGACGCTGTCCCCCTCCCTCTCTTCCTCCTCTCTTTTATTCTCAGAAATGAACGTATAAAAAAGCCGGTGCGTTTCTTGGCCCGTCGAGGTACATCAGCTCGTTTTCACTGTGACTTTTTCCCCCCTCTCTCTGGTTTCCTGTGGTCACTGGAAGGTCATACATCCATGAAACATCCGTTGGGTTTCTCCCCCAATTCACAACCGTCGGCTCTCCAATATATTCTCACATTCTCTGCAGTTATCACATTCTCAGATGTTAGGCAAGAGGGCAAGAGGTCTTGTGGATTCAGAGAATACCTCAGTGTCATGCACACACATACACACTTGTGCGTCTGGCCGGCCCTTGTTCTCTGGGTGACCCTTCAGTGTAACCTAATGCTTATTTTCACATTGCACGCACATACAGGTAAAAAAACAACACACAATCTCTCCTTACCCACCTGAGTGGATTTCCACGCAGGCTGTCTCACCTTTAAAATGTCTCTCTCCAAGATCACACACTTACACACTCTCATGCACAGTCCCAGTGTGTGCTGACCTAGGAGTAACTCAGTGAAGTCAGCCAATAAAACACAGAGGAATCGTCGGCACGTAACTTGACATTCTAGTGGTTTGTTTGGATAACCTCTCGCTGCGCAGAACCAACACACACGCACACACACACGCACACACACGCCTGCGCTACAAGCTCACTATTTTACATTTACGACTCTCTCGATCCTCCCGGACCCCACCGCCTCGCTCGGCCCCCAGCGTTGCCCTCTGGTCCACCCCGCCACACACACATATTTAGTCTACAAAGCCTCTGTTTTCCCAGCAATTATCTCCAAACTAAACACTCACCCAAAAGAGGTAACTACAGAGTAGAGTTATTGTGAAAGCATAACTTTTTTAGCCACGTTAGCAGCATCAGGACAGGATGGACGGGCAGCAGAAATGAATCAATAACTTTCAGACGGATGGACGGAGAAATGTAGCTGACGTTCATACTCCCCAGAGGATGAATTTACACTGCTGGTATTGTTGAATGTCCGATTTTGACATGTCCAGTACCTCAGTACATAGAAGGGTCAATACTCAACAATGATCGTTCCTGGTTTTAAAGATGTGTACATGTCCCCAGAAGGTCCTTAAATGGCATGACCGGAGCTGTAGGCTTATTGGAAATACATTTTAGATGTGGACAATAATTAAAAACTTTAACATCCATAAAATTTGATTTTCTTTAACATTTAAGTTATTGCTCTGTTGACACATCTGTATTAGGTAAAGCCAGCCGTGGACATGAGAGACTTTGGTAAAGATGTCTAAATTCCCATCCTTAGGTGACCCTGACCTTGTTGGTGCAAGACTGAAGGCATACCAGGTCTAGCTACAGTCAATAAGTTGAACTGTGAAAGAAAAAGGATCCAAATCAGCTCTTACCTGGTCAGATGGATCAAAGACAACTTGAGGAAGAGCGTATATGACCTTCGTAGAGTTAAGGAAAGATATCCACCAAAATCCCCTGAGTGTGGACGGAAATAATTTTTGAAAATACAGAGAAAAAAAAGTCAGTTTATTAAAATATGAGTGTACGTGAAAACTAAAAATATTCCAAAACTTCTATATTAATCATGTATTTATCTCAGAGCTGCTCCAGGTGTCAAAATGCTTTAGAAAAATACTTTTATTCATCGTCTGTTTCTGAAAACCATCATCCTTAATCGCCCCGCATACATGTATACATGGATCTTAGCTTGCCTGTAGTTGTATGACTCGAGTCTCCACAGCCAAACTCTTCTTTTATAACAACATACACATGTGTGCACACGCTTGAGTTTCTCGGAGTGTGAACTCTTGTTCCCCTGCTGTGTGTTCCAGGTCTGAATTTATGAGCCTCTGAGCTCCCACTGAAAACCAGATCTTCTTTAAGGTTTACCCTAATGTGACCCTCAGCAGCACGGTATATATGTGAGTGTTAAAGAGAGAAAGAGAGGCTGATCAGGATTAGTTTGAACTCTCTCTCAATCCTTAAACCGATGAGGAATCATCCTGGAGTGGAATCAGGTGTGGGAGTTCCTGATCAGGTTAAGGGAGGTGAGAGAAGTCCTTGAGCTCCAGTGCTTGGTCTTGACTCATTATCTCATCCTCAGGGATGGTGAGAGGGTCGACACCGAGCCTTTTGGGTCTCTAGTGTTTGGAAGCTGTAGTGCTCTAGTTAAAGAAGTCATCTTTGGGGGTTTTTTTGCAGAGAGGCTTTGGATTTCCACGCAAAACTGAGGATGGACAAAGAATAGTTAAAGGCATGGTTGACAATCTGAGAAGCTGCTGAAAAACACTGAGCCATTGAGGCAGATTTGAAAAAATCATCATCTCTCCAATCGTCAACCATGCCTTGAATGTGTAGTGAGTACATATTTTGATTAAAGTGACTCTCAAATACTGATGCTATGAAATCATGTTTAAGAAGCAGCCTGTGGAAACATCTCCATCTAGGACTGTGTGGCCTTAAGAGAGGACTTCAGGAGGCTGGTGGACCACCAGGACATGGTTCTTGTTAAACTCTGCTGTTGTCTGTGGCTCTGCACAGCAGCATTATAGTAAGCAATGATGAAGTATATATTATGCAGATCCCTGATATCAATGACAGACCCCCATTCCTGAGACAATATGGTTACTATCACCAATAAATCCATAACATGATAATTCCTACAGTTGGGCCTGAAATCTCCTAAAGTACAAACATGTGTGAGGATACAGTCATCTACTGTTACAGGAAGAAATATCTTCACCTTCTTTCACAGCGAAAAATATCCGACTTAACCTTGACTGAGGCTCCTCTGGTGCTGTGGTTAGTGTTACTGTCTCCTCTCAGGTCCTCAGCTATAGGTCAACAGTGGACAGTCCGACCGCAGAGATTTCACAGATATCCCACCACTGTCAGCTTCCACCTTCGCAGCAGCCTGTGTTGTATTTCATTTGGCTTTTTATAGCTTTGAAGACATGCACATACGCCAGTTTCCCTTCATAGTTCAAACCAAACAGCGTATGCTAATGTCGTGTTGCGCCCTCCGCCCCTTTATGCATAGATTTTCCAATATGTATGTGGACCATCACGTAGACGGTCCTAATTCACCCTGACCGTGGAGGCTGCACAGGTCGGCCTTTGGCGTCATCTTTTGTTGCTGATGTTAAAAAACAGACAATCCTTCGCACATGAAGTGAACATAGAAGAACTTAGAGACATTCTGCACTGGCAAGACTTCAGTTCCTGGGACTATAGCCTAGCTTACAATTAGCTTCTCGCACATTCAGTCCCACTTGCACACATAATAGCAGCACAGCGAATGACCAAAAAGTGTTCAATACTAATAAATATTTATGTATGAGTTGAAACTTTGGTGAATATTGTGGATAAGATGATTAACTTTATCTTGCAATTGAATTTTTGGCAGTGATTGTTGTTTTTACCGTCTGCTGCCCCGACAAAAACCGTTAACTGTCCTTTGACTGAATTCACGAGGAAACAGCGAGGTTGGGGCTGTTGCATCTCTGAACACAAACAGCAAACATACGCTAACAGTGAAGATGGAAGCTGTGTGTTCGAGCCAATTTGTATGGTTTAGTGCCATATTCCATATTCCATATTTGTGTATTTTAAATTTATCATGCAGTATATGAATTTTGGGTTCATGCAATTTTGATGTATTTCCAGTAGGTAGCTCCACCTGCATGTGAGGCAGAAGTTTTTACTTCGTCTCTCTAATCTATATAGCGCTAATTAGAGGCAGGTGTGGTTGTGTTTTGTCACCAGTGAGCGCACACAAGTTTTTGACTGTCAATTTGTTTTTTTTGCAGTTGTCAAGGACGATTCCACGTGAATATCTTTTCATGCAATTGTGCATTAGGAACTTATTGGTGTGGTGTAAATAAAACTCACTGTGGATTATTATTGCAACGGACCTGTGAACGCTCACTCCGATGTTAAGCCGGTTTCAGCCACGTCTTGACTTGTAGGTTTATTGTTTTTTCTAGTCGCAATTAAGTCAAGATAATACACTGTAAAAAGTAACATCTACTTTCTATCCGCAGCCAAAATGAAGCTTTTCTCTAACCAAACTTGGCCTTTGGCATCTTTTCAGCACATCTTTAGCTCCTCTGGATGTTTGGTTGAAGTTGGTTTATCTTCGACGGTGAGATGCTACTGAGTCCTCAAACTTATACATCCATTCACATCACTTCTTTCATTCACATTGGCAGAATTTGGATGTTAACTGCTTGTTTTTTATGACAGGACATCCACAAGGAGGTGAGTGTCGTTAAGTTGAAGCTAAATCAAGTTAATAAGAATTTCCTGTCATCACCTTCAGGTTTCGTACTCGAGTTCGCCAGGGAACATGAAGTTTTGGGAATAATTCAATTGTCATAAAAGCGAGTATTGTTCTCTGGTTTGGATTATACGCCGCTCTCAGGTTGAGTTTATGAGTTGATCACACTATTTCATACTGTAAAGAAATAAACATGTTTAGGGGGAAACTGGGAGTCAAACCTTCAGCTACCTTTGCCATCCGCTTTGTTAAATCTAATTGGTCAATGTGGCATCCAGCTGAAATTAAACCCCCTCACTGACCGTTCTCTCACCTCGCTGTAACGACTGTTATTGTTCCTCCGCTGGCAAAAATCAGCACTCACATTTTCGGAGAAGGCATTTGAGAAATTTGGCCCACCTGTGTTTCTTTAAGCAGCGATGTCTTGGCAAGGTGAAGCAGCTTTTCAAAGCCCGACATGAAAGCTCTCCACGAACACAGACACACAGGCTGGCAGCTGTGTGTATAGAAGTGTGTGTGTGTTTTTGTGTGTGTAGTATGTGTGTACGTTATCAACAGCACTGTTTTACAAGCACATGGACACGGTAAACACCAGCAGGAACCGGTGTGTTCACGTATTTGTAAGTGGTCAACAAGACCATAAAGTGATCGAGGAATGTACTTTCATTTTTTAACGAGGTTCATCAAAACGGAGAGCCGTCGAGAAATCGGCCTCTTCACACGCGAGGCGGGAAACAAAAGGGTCGGAGGGGTGAGCGTACGAAGATGACGGACGGACTGAAAGCTGAAGGACTCAGATACATGACGGAACAATCACTTACAGATGATTCCTGATGAACCCCATCTTCTGCTGTTGTCCTCCACTGACCCCAAAGATGTACCGGCTCTCAGACTGGATACAGGACGGCCTGGCGTGCATGGTAACAGATTAGCAGCATCTCTAAACATACTACTTCCTGTTAGCTGAGACGGGTACCGTCATCAAACCTGTTGAAAGAAATCAGACAATATATGTTAAAGTTAGTACTGTATGTACCCACAAGGTGGCGCTATGACTGTCATTGTAGGGTTGGGGTTAGATCGATGTGTTCAGGGATGGACTATGGATCATTCCATGGAAACCATTCTGTATTCTATATACAGTCTATGGAACATTCATATAAAGTTTCACTGAAATTAAAGATTGTCCGAAGGAGTTAAAACAATTTTCTGTTTCATGCCGAGACGTCAAAGTTTGGCTAGCTATGATAACTCCAGCTAGTCTGTAAATTTTTGTAGCTGTTTTCAAACTTTCTTTCTAAATCTACGAATTATTTCTAATTGCAAACATTTAAAAGAAGAGAAAAACACTTACCTGAGATCCAACAGCATTAGTTAGTCTGAAACTGCAGGTCATCCAGACCTGAAGGGGAATATGACGTGACTTCGTAAAAGTAAACAGATGTGATAATGACGGCTGTAAAAGACGTTTTCTCTCTGAAATCTCAAGTTTGTTGAACTTTATGCCGCTCTAATAAGATTTGACTTTAATAAAGTTATAAAGACGTGTGTCTGTGAGGAGAATACTCAGACATTTAGTAAGTGTTTTCAGATCGCAGAGACAAAGGAACAGCAGGTAAAAGTTTAAAGACTGAAAAGATCTGGTCTGAGTGGCATCAGAGAGACTTTTCGAGTGAGACATAGCGAGAAAAGCTCCACGGTGAGATGGTGAGTGTGGTCTGTGGAGTGGGTTAGTGTACGCAGGATTTACAGAGCTCAAGGAGAAAAAGTGGAGATTTAGTGATGGAGGTTAAACTGGAGTTTTCTTTCCAAATCTGAAAAGTATTTTCTCGATAATGATGATAAATCTAATATTCCACAGCCTGTGTGTGTCTGTGTACGTGTGTGTGTGTGTGTGTGCAGTCTATATAAATCCACAGCGTGTTTTCTTTCGCTCTGCTCGAGTGGAATATTTTTCTAATGAGTGTTTTATTCCTCCGACCGTCACATGAACACACCATCAGAGACGAGCATATGGAAATGAAATCAAAGGGGAGACAGAGGGCTTACACAGGCCAAGACACACACTCCCACAAACACACACACATTTACTCCTACACACAAACCAAGGTCACTCCTGCGCTGTCCTTTGATGGTCCGTAGATTTGTATTTGACGTGTTTGAACTTGTTTGTACATAAAAGCATATTGATGAAGGATGGCTTCATAATCCCGCTCACATAAACTCAGGACAGCATGTTCTCGCTCTTTGTTTTGATGCCACACAACTTGAAAACAACTGAAAAAACATGACAAGTCTCATCGCTCAGTCTATTACTGGGGAGGAGTCTGAACTGGAGTATGAATTTAAGATGTTTGTTATGATCTAGAAATGATTTTGTTCTGGTATTGGCTTCATCAGTGCAGCATCTGCTGCCTGAAGCTCTGCTAGAGCCCGAGTTGTCTTCCTCTTCCCCTCCTCTCGTCAACGTACACCAGACTGTCATTTTAAAAAGGTCTCAGTCTGAATCCGTGGAGCTCCTCTCTCTGTTCACAGGCAGTGGGCTGCAGACCGCTGGAGTAGCCGTCTATCAGTCAGTATGTTCAACCAGACTACTGTCCTTGTCCCAGTTAACATGCACCGGTTAAAAGCATGTCCTTCTTCCCTATAGACATCCCTCCTTTCAGTTTGACAAACCTTAACAGTAAGCACGCACTACATGACACTACTATGCAGGACAGAGTTGCGGAGTCGCACTTGGTAAATTTTGAGGGGTTTTTGGGTCGGGTCAAGTGTTTTTACGTGCTTCTAACGGGCAATACCCACAGGATCCGGAATGGCTCCGCTCCAGCACGGCAGGTGGATCAAATGCAAGCATTATAATCAATGTAAGTCATTTAAAAGAATCCATCCGCCATGTCCGGCTCTGCTGCGGATCGACTCCAGCAGCCGCATCAGATACACAAGGCTTCTATTTTTGCCGGACGCTAGAGCACAGTGCATCAATTCAGTGCCCAAACAGAGGACATGTCCAAAAGGATGTATGGTCACCCTAGGCATGAAGAGAAGCTAAAGGGGAACTTGTTGATAATCTTAACTGTTTAAAGACACGCCCCCTTAATCTACCAAAGACGTCATAGTGACTGAGTCTGATCAAACACAACCTTCTCAAAACTCCTGATATGACACCTTTAGTGCTTCACCATGCTTTGCTGCAAACCTGTCTCAGTTGTTGGATGACTAACATACCCACTTCAGACATAGGCTCTCAAAGGAGGGGTGGACATTTCAAGTCCAAACCGGCGCTTTGAGGATATTTGGACCTATTTTGAAACTCAGGCCTCTGAGGATTGTGTCATCTTTGATCTGTTGACACACACTCATTTCCTGGGAGATCAAACTTGAGTGGTTCTGATGTAAAAACTTAAGATCACATGTAATCATGTGTGTGTTTCCATTTCTGTGCATGTGCGAACAAACACACATGCTTCTCGCCAAAACATCCCGGTTTCATCTCAGATTCAGGAAGACTTCCTCCAGTGACTCTCAGCATATCTGGGCCGGGTTTGTGTGTCTTTTTGAGTGAGTGTGTGTGTTTGTGCAGTCACCAGATAGTATCTCTGATCCTTTATCGCTCTGCTTTTATTGTTACCGGCTGCAGATTCACCTGCCAGACAACAAGCTCATTCAGGCTCCGCGACCCTTTGGCCTTCATTTCACCCAGACAAGTCCAGGTTAGTCCTCGGATAAAAACAATAACACCGAGGAGGAGGCGGAGGAGAAGAAGATGGAGGAGGAGATTAAAGATGAACGCTGAAACACACGAGAGAAGAACTCGGGAGTCCTGCTGCTTCTGCGAAACTCCCATTCAGGGTTTGGATTTCACTTTACAAATCCTGTATTTCATGAACAGTAAAAGGAACATTTCACCATTCTGGAAGTGTGTTTGCCATAAGGGATGCAGGTTTAGGAGGACAGTTTAGTGCATGCTCCTCACCAGTGAGTCTTGTTCCAACTACAATGAAAGTGACATTCCATGGCAACAGCGGAGGAGGCTTCAAGAGAGTTGACCAATAAGTGGGCTCTTTTGAGAGTCTTTTTAAATTACCCCCAAATCCAGATTAATGAACTTAGATGATGTAACGTCTCAGACCTCGGATCAGCCCTGATCCAGGATCATCTGAAATCAAAACATGGATGTCTGACATTGAACGTTGATTGAATTGGTGATGAGGGTCCTCTCAGCTCACAAACCACTGTCACATATCTGACCTCGAGCTCATTCATGGTTTGTTCTGCTGTCATCGGTGTGTCTTCACATCCTCTGAGTAACAAAGCTGCAGGCCCGTCTTTGTGCTTCCCACTGATCACATCAGGCTTGTTTGTAGCAGATTTCTGGGATTGATAGAAGTGGGAACAATGTTGAAAAGACAATAAACAAGTTTTTATTTAGTCTAGCAGCTTGTTGTGGAAAGTTGTTTTGTTAATGTCATCGTCAGCGCTGTTTGAGCACGTCCTCTGATGTGGAGGGAACCTTAACCTGTGTATGTTTTTCACTCCGGTCTTTTGTCTTCTGTGTTTGTACATGTTGAGGTCAACATCTATGTCAGAGTGATTCACCGGGAAACAGGGCGAAGAGCTGGATCTATAAACTCCAGGAGCGAGAAGAGACCCAGTCAGTCAGTCTGTTTCCATGACACTCGAGAAAACCGAATTATTGCCTGATTCCGATTAAGACCAGACAACTGAAGTGCATGTAAACACCTTAGTCCGACTATAATCGGAGTTTGAGAACTTGGATTGGAGTTGGAGAACTCAGATTGAGACACCCAGATAATGCAATTGGAATTCCATTTTCTCTACCATGTAACCAGCGTAGTCAGAGTATGGTCGGACAATGCATGTGCAAAAGACACCAGAGGCGAAGAGTAGCGCGTACATCATGTACGACAAAAACAACGCTGTACGATGCTCCATCTTCTTGTTTCTCCAAAATGCCCAGCAGCAGTTGTAGACACTTCTGACGTCTGACACCGACCTGCTGTTGTTGTTAACGGTTGTATGGGGTCAGAGACAGCGCTGCTGAAAAGACCCACATCGACCCCTAATTTTGGGGTGGAGGACATGTTCACGCCGATCATTCAATTTTCTCAGCTGCATGCGGACATGGAGAGAAGTCCGATTCAGTTAAAAAAACGAATAATGAGCATATTCCGATTAAGCTGTGCATGTAAACGCACTGAGTGAGGAGAAGCAAAATCTGCAAGCGGCCAAAGAAGGAGACGGAAAATTCGAGGGATTAATCATCTTAATTCAGGATTAGCAAGATCTTGATCAGACTCTGGTTTGGTCAGTGAAGGTCCTGGGACATCTGCTGCACTGACCCTGAACTGAGAGAGCGTTACCATAGCGCCCACTGTCCAAGTTCCTGATGCTCACGTGTTCACAGTCATGTCCTCCAGAGAGAGGATGGCTGTTGAAGAGATTCCTCTGAAAACCACACACATTCCATAGAGTTCTTCAATCCTCGCTAGAACCGGGTCTGAAGCCTCAGATAAGATGGCCAGCCTTGTTAAGGAGGATCTGACCTCGGCTGGCGGGAGTTCATGAACTGGAGATGCGATCAGCCGGAGCGTGCTTTCCCGTCTCTGCTTGTTCAGATAACACGCACTCACCTTGTCGCCCAAATCGCATTTCCAGGTTTTCAGATTCGTCCGTCTGCAGAGAGAGTGATTGAACTTTTTGGGGTCGGGTCCAAACTGTCAGAAGAATTTGGCCCGGCTAGCATTCAGTCTGTTTTATACCTTTGTATCTGTCTGTCTGTTTTACATTAATCCCATATAGATGCTGCACATAGATCACTCTGTCTTTCCTCATCGGCATCCTGACACCTCCCAGTATCGCTCTCGCTCAGCAGCCTCCGTCTGAACTCTCTGCTGGCAGCAGGAATGACTCAGGTGATTTTCCACACATGTATGAAGGTGTGTAGTCCGGTTGTGTGTGTTTTGAGTGTGTTTGTGCGGCGCTGCAGTGCTGTTTGTTTGCAGAGAGTGTGTGAATCTGTGTGAGTGTGTGAGAGAGAGAGTCAGGTGTCAAGTTTAGCCTCTGATCGACCCAACCTGGGAATGATCCAGTCTCAGCGGGGAAGCCAAATATGCTCCTCTATACGAGTGTGTATGCATGTGTGTGTGTGTGAAGGTGTGTGTATGTGTGTGTGTGTGTGTCTAACCCAGAGATGACTCACAAACCATCTGGAGGCCAGATGCAGGTTAGAAAGCTCCTCTCTCCTTCCCTCCCTCCCTCTGTTAGTTCCCTTAGTTAACCCATGACCTTTGACCCTCTTTGCCGCGGCGTGGGTGTGTGGGAGTGCGAGTTCAGGCGTTCCTGGTCGAGTAAACGGCGAGGTGGCGACCTTTCTCAGAAGTGTTGAACTCTCCCTCCGTGACCTCTGGAGTTCAAGTTCACTCATTGACCCCGTTCCCACTCCTACGGCCTCCATCCTTCTGCTCCTTTCTTCTTCGTCCTCGCCTCTTCCCGACACCTCCTCCAGTGATTAACTCCCAGAAACCGGACACTCAAATGTGTTACAGGCTCGTCTCTGAGTCATGAGGACTGTAAAAAACCTGTTAAAGTGATAGACGAGACGCTTACGTCCACCTGAGACCACGGAAACAGGACGCTGCCCCGTATTAAAGACGGTTTCTGTTTGTGAACGTGGTCAAACTAAAAAAGCAAGAGCGCGTTTTTCTCATGAATATGTATTTTGATGTTTTTCTTTCCCTCTGTCTGAATATTTCATTTTTTCTCATCTGATTCAAGACTTTAGATTGACGACGGGTTATTGGTATTTATCGGCCAAGAAGGAAGAAGAGGTTAAAAATAAATACTGGTCATTTAAACAGACTGTTGCAAAGATAGAGAGAGCGAGAATGGGCATACCAAGATATACAACAATTTGCAGGTACAGATGGGGACAGAGGCCATTAAAAAGCATCAAAAACTATTCTTTTTTTTTTTTTTTTCAGTACTTTAAAGATCTGACAAAATTCGAAAGACCGAGCACTTGTATTTAGTCTTCGAAGGCGCTGATCTGGACTCTCTGATTCAGTCCTCGGTCGTTAAATCTGCAGCTCGGTGGAGCTCATAGATAATTTCAGATAATTCGATAAATCTTCCTGACGGCTCTGGGGAGACACGTTGTGAAAAGTAAATGAGGATAATGTTGTAAGTGCAGCCGCAGAGTTTCCGCAACACCAGAACAAAGAGCGTCACTGACAGCGGTTACACGCAGGCCGCCGCGGGCCGCTCTTTGTAGATGAAACACGTGTTTATTTGCTGTCAAATATTTCTCAGACAACACCAACCCAAAGCCTTACCAGTAAATCATCTCAATAATTACATGAGTGTGCGCGTGTGTGTGAGTGAGTGTGGACTCTTACCAGTAAAAGAGTGAAACATCAACCTAACAGGACAACAGAGCGGGAACTCCGTCTATAGCTGGGCCAAAAGTTCTGATTGAAGCCCCAGAGAGGCCCGGTTTGTGCATGGGCTGGCCCGAGTTGACACACTTAGCTCTGAACATCACTTTTGGACTGTTTTAACGTCTGTGTGCTCATTATTAACGAGGTCGGACATGAGGCGACTCTTACTTAATAACAGAGGGAGTTTAGAGGGAGTACCAGGGGAATCATAGAGTCCTATTTGGCTGCTAAAGACCCATTAGAGGAGGACTTGATATTTAAAGATGGAACCAGGGTTTGATAAATTCCCTCCCTCTGGTACCAGGGAGAAAAAAAGAAGCAAAGGAAAGAAAGAAAAAGCACCAACATGAGAAAAAGCCTAAACTTCTCTCTAAAGCGTCTGTCTCGGATTGAAAAACCACTTTCTTTTGATAGTCAAAACCCGCAGAAACTTTCCGACTTCACTCTCATTGCCATCCCTAAGTGCTCCGTGGGGTGCTTTTATTCTGAAAGAGGATCAGAGTGGACGCGCAGCAGCTGGATCGTATTCATCAATATACATGAGCTTTGGTTTTTCTCGCTATGTGCACATAAACAAACAAAAGCCGAGCTGAAACAAACCGCAGATCCTCCCTCAACTTCAGCCAGACTCTGTTCGGGTTTGTTACAGTTACCTGCTGAGAGGAGGATGTTTGACGCGCTGGACGACATCCAGCCTCAACAAATGGCTTTTAGAGGGAAATATTGTTTTTTGAATGACAGTTAAAGAGACACAAGAGGAGTCCAAATACGGGTGGACTCACAAAACACAGAAATAAGCAAAGCAGAGCGTCTGCTTCCAGATGTCTGAGTGAAGAAACCAACGCAGGGTGCCAATATCCATTTTTTTTAATCATATCTTATAGGAAGAACTGTCGTGTTTTCACAGTTTGTCATAAACAAATGAAGGATTTAATTTTTTTTAAATTTTGAATCAGAGTGACGTCTCTCTTTTTCTGTGTGAAATGTGACAGTTGAAGACAGAGTAGAAGAAAGGGCGTGAAAACAATTTGTGAAGGTAAAAGTCGACAAAAAGAGGGGGTGAGTATGGGAGAGGGAATCTAGGACGTGATGAGTAGACGTCCCAGTTCATGAATTCAACCTTGATTGAACAGTCAACGCTGATTACCAGAGTCACCATCCAGCTAAAGAGATCGCCACGCGGCTCAACCTGATGGGTCACAACGGACTCACATTTTAGGTGTTTAAAGACTTGACGTCCTGGTTAATATAAAAATGGCGGTCCTCTTATAATAACTCCTGATCGGAGCGGCATCAGCAGTGATGCAGACGCTTAACCGATCTGTTGTGGTGAACAAAGAGCTAAGCCGTAAGGCGAGACTCTCCAGTTACCGGTCGATCTATGTTTTGACCCTCACCTATGGTCATGAATTTTGGGTAATGACCGAAAGAACAAGATCGCAGACTCAAGCGGCCGAAATGGGTTTCCTTCGCAGGGTGCTCGGTCTCAGCCTTAGAGATTCGGTAAGGATCTCGTACACTTGGGAGGCGCTTGGAGTAGAACTGCTGCTGCTCCTTCTTGTCGAGAGGAGTCAGCTAAGGTGGCTCAAGCATCTGATTAGGATGCCCTCTGGACGCCTCCTGTTAGAGGTGTTCCGGAAATGTCCCATCGGGAAGAGACCTAGTGGCCAGCCCAGGACCAGGTGGAGGGATTATATCTCTCGCCTGGCCTGGGAGTGCCTGGGAATCCCCCCCGGAGGAGCTGGTGGAAGTGACTGGGGTGAGGGCTGTCTGGGCTTCCCTCCTGAAGCTGCACCTTCCAGCCAATCAGAATCAAGAACTCCTCATGGCCGCTTCAACATCAAATTCAAGCTGAGTGACACTTCGCCTCACAAACAGCACAAGGTAACATCATGGCAACACGGTGAGGCGTAAACAAAGACGCCGGACCACCGGAGAACACGGGTGAGATGTAAACAGGTCAGAAGATCCAGTTAAGACCAAATCTAAACACCATCAGTAAGAAGTCACTTCTTCATCCTCTGACACATGGAAGCAGCTGTTTCCTCCGAATTATGAGACAACATCGATGTTTCCATCTCTCTGTAAAGTCAGAACCACCACGCTTATTACGGCGAAACGATGATTTATATGTGTTCGTAGGATTACAGTGAAATGAGTAAATCAGCAGGGCTGTTCCTCCCTGACATTTCCATGAACCAGCTCGTGATGTTCCTCAGATGAACAGAGGAGAGGACGAGGCCCAGATGAAAGACGGGATCGAGAAGGAAACAATAGAAATCTGCCGGACAGATGTCTCCCTCTCTTTCCCAATACTTGTGTTGAAACAGCGAGTGTGTGCGTGTGTGTGTGTGTTTGCAGTGTTTTCCCACAGAGAAGAGGATGCTCCAGCACGTCCCAGCTATCCGAGGTCTGAGCGTGTGAGTCGAGTTCACAGCCGTCTGACAAACTCTAAAAGAAAAACAGAAACTCAGAGACGAGTTTGACGCTGTAACGCCGTGAGGTCACGGACAGTAGAAGTCGTGGTCGTGACTTTGCATGAGTGTGTGTCTGTTTCAGGGGTCAAACTAGTGCTGCTACTGCCTACAGAGATGACTGTCCCGAGACTTTAAAAGAAGAGGATGATGGGAAAAGAGGTCTAGAGTAGGAGGAGGGTGAAGGTAGGGGAAAGGAGGAAGATGCTGAAGAAGATGAAGCAGCGTTGTTTTTGTTGTACATGATGTACGCGCTACTTTTTCTGCAGATGAGATGCACGTTACTCCTCTTCTCCTGTGTTTTTGTTCCGGAGTTACGGGGGCGTAGCGCACATGTCCATGCATTGTCCAATCATTCTCTGACTACGCACGGTAGTCCAGTGAGCGTAAAAGTCTCCAGATCAATCTTCAAGAGCTTGGGACTGGTTTTAGTTTGTGCATTTCACAACTTTTTGTTCTTGAGTGGGGGTCAACAAAAGGGTTAAGTTTGAACGTCCCCATCACAGTTATTCAGAACTCTAGTGTTTGCACTGAGGTGCACGTACACAGTGGTAACGGGTTTGTTTTGACCTACATCAGGAAGTTCAGGAGGAGGGGAACAGAAGCCACAAGTTTCACTCAGGAAGACGGTCCTCAGACACAGCCGTGCACCTCCTGTGGGGATAAAGACGCTTGATGTAAGCGTCTAAATGTGCTGAACTTTGTCTAATTGGGCCAATTTGTAGTTTGGGCTGAAATCTAATGACGCACACACAGAAAGGAAGACTCCCAGATGTTAGCTCCTCTTTCTACCTGCTGTTACCTCCGAGCTGAACAGAGGAGGGTCAGGAAATTGACTGTAATTACACCGTCCCCTGAAGTAAACACACTTTCAGACAGAGCAAAAGTAAGACACAGACACATTAAGAAAACCTCGGTCTATCAGACAGATAGTTCATAGTGATCAGCTGACCTTTTACCAAGCTGCACAGCGCGCAACAAATTTGCGGTACCTTGGGAAATACTGGCCGAGCCGCCGTGACATTCGTTAAACTCTCTCTGCCTCTGTTCCTCCAAACACAATGCATGGTTCCTACAGTCGAACCATCTTTCATCTAAAGGTTTATTGGGTTTGTGACAAGTAGGGAGAGTTCTAGCCTCAAAACCCATTTCAAGAGAAAGTACAAAGCTGGCGCAGACGTTTTATGTTTGGTCAAACAAGTGAGACACAACAAGCAGATGCCGACACTGTTTCCCTTAAGCCTCTCTAACCCAACGATCAGGAGGACAGACAGGGGTTTATTTCTCCCTGCCACACTGTTTATTTGGCTCTTTGTGGGACTGTAAACAAGTGATCTGTCGCTGGAGACGTTTTGTCCAACCACGTGCATGCGCGGTTAACTGAAGCTAAACAAGCTCAGAACATGATCCGGACGGCTCTGACTCTCCCGGTAGGTGGTTTGGGACATGATACTGTTGATTCGACGCTAGGCAGGAAGTTTTGGGGAGCGACATGTTGGGGATTTAAAAAGGCACCACCATAGTTTGACTGTGTGTTATACAGCTACCATGTGTGTCTGCTTTCCTGCCTTATTAAATCCTTCTACATTTTGCACACTTTGGGAAGCGGAGTGCAACGGCTGCATGAGCTTTCGATTATGTGATTTAGCTTTTTATGAAATGATAATGTACATCTGGTGGCTGTGGACGTGAAGCTCAGCTAATGCAGCTGTCGAGAGCGGCATGCCTCAGTAGCAAGCGGCATTACAGTGTTTGCATTAGCCGGAGTTTGTGCAACTCTAAGCACAGGCCAGTCCTAATCACTTAAATGTCATCTGAATAAATGTGTCAGCTCTTAAATCCAGAGGACTCTCTTCGTTGGAGACTAGGACATGGTTTTTAAATGCCTTTGAGGGTACTTTCTCTCTCTTCTAGTTCAATACAGGGTTCAGATTTTGACTCTCTCCAATCGAATGATGACCTAAAGTAGTTTCCATTTCTTTGTCGCCGTCTTTGAGTACCTGGCTGCCTTTGAAAACTATCAAGGGGACGCACTACTTTAGTTAAAATGAAACACGAATCTGGCCAAGCTGCTCTGTTACTCATTCTCGGTCTCCTTGCTGCAGCTTACGGGGGCTGCAGGAATGGCTTGCATGTAATTTTGAGGGAATTGGTCGAGCTCCCTGTTGGCCTGTACCGCCATTGCCAACGAATGTTAACACCGGAGCGCTGCCAAATTCCTATAGTGGACCTTTTTGGACATCCTGGAAGGAATCTTGGTTACACATCAGGAAAAATACTTCTGAAAACTCTTAGCCTTTAAACTTTGGAGCTGGCTGAACTCCCTTCATATTCCATTTGAACGGCCTCGGGGGTAAAGAAAGGGCATCCTGTTGGTTATTTAGCTAATGTATTTATCCAGTTAAACACTGCCTGAGTGGAGACCTTCATGCATGTTTTCATCACTCTGTTTCAAAGACATATTTCACACCTATGAGCCGCCCAGAACAAACTACAGTTAGATATACCAACACTGGAAATATTAAACACCTCGTTTCAGGGCGACTCGTGGGCGTAAGGATTGTTTAGGAAGGCAAAGCATTTGTACTCCCCTCCTCCGCGCTGTGCCGTTACCAAGACACCCAAAATTAGATTGTTTTAAGTACCTGAGACAGAAATACAGGCTGTGACTGATGAGATCTGAGGGTTTTAAGGCACAGGTAAATGATCCGTTAAACAGGGGGTGGTCTGGATAGGTGGTATGGTCCCCGTTCTCCTGAATTCTGGTCAAATTGGTCAAAACTACGATTAGCTTTGACTCTTTGGGCTGTTTCCTATGACTTTGTAGTCCTTCTTACGTTGGAATTCAGTGTCACGAAGGTCTTTTTAACCTCTTATATCTTTGTATATCGTTCCGTCTTTGCCTGCTTTGTTTCTGCTTTTCCAGTTAAATAAAGTCAGATGGCTCGTGGGTGTTACTTTATACACAGCTTTGTAGTTACAAAATGACTGGAAAGATTGGCCATCATCACAATACCGGTGGGTATGATTGTACGTAAAGCTTGTGGTTCTGAGCCTTCCTATCTAGAAGGTCTCGACTGATAGAACAGCCCGAGGTTTCAGGAATAGAGGTGTGAATCCAGCTCATACCGGCCTTGGATTACAAAGGGGTCATCAGAGACGTGGCGAGCACAAACAGCCATTCTGTGGCTTTTGTCCTAAAACTATAAAAACTCGCGTCTGTTGACGGCCCACCTGCATCACCGGTGATCACCTGAACATCCTAACCTGA